GAAGCGGTTGTCCTCGTTATGGAGAATTTGTCAACCGAAAGGATACAACAGTAAATTAACATATGAATCTGAGAGATTTGTAGGCGATAAGGGGTCATCCGTGGTGAAGGGTTGGAGCGAGTGGCAGGCACATTGTTGGGACTGTAATGTATGACCGTGGCAATCTGTGGTGGAGGGCTAGTAGCACTGGGGCTCTCCATACACTCAATGATGATCTAAAACCGATGACCATGGAAATAGGTAACAACAGATCCAATGAACTTAACGCAACAGATCCTTCAAATGCCAAAAACCTTGGAGTTACCTTTAGTAGGGACTTATACTATCCTACGTAACATGCAGATTAGCAACTGAATATAGAACGATTAGTAAGTAACACGGGCAGGGCCGGCGGACGACCAGTGAGGTTTCGTTCCGGCAAGTTGCCGACACTGATACGGTCGTATTATGTTGCAAAATGCTGCGGTTTCAAATGGTCTAGGCCCTGGACCACGACTAAGCAGATTACACGGTGAGCGTCTACCGCGAGGAGGTCTGCATCATCCCCACCCTGTCACCTGGACCTGGACATCGGTTAACTGGATTACACTGTCCAGGGGCAGTGAGGAGTGGACATCACCATTACACACATAAAGAATGCTCGCATAAGTCAAGTGCGCAGATTCAAATTCGATTGTTATTGATAAGACTAGGAATTTTGTCTTCTCTATACCGGTGCAAGATCGGCCGGGGGGCACAGCTTACGACAAACTCCAACGAATGGCTACAAATAATACATATAGTTTTTGTCGGATCCATACGGTAGGCTAGAGCTTTTTCAGTCAACCAACACACACCAATCTATATTTAGGTAAAAAGGGAAATAAGTGTAAAATATTTCAAAGAACTGGGAGCCAAGGGAGAGAGATTGTCAAGTGGATATCCCAAGCTTGTCCATGCTGCTGTTGGTGAAATCGCCTTTTTAAAATAGGCTGTCCATTTTATAGAAAGAGAAGAAGGGCCCAAGTAAGTAATTTTAAGATCTTCCTGCTTCCGGATGGTGCTAAGCAATTTGACTTTAAATGGTTAGACCCATGCAACCTTTTCCAGCTGTCAGATGTAAATTAAAATCGTAATTATTTTACAAAGGCTTACATAGAAAACCCTTTTGAAATAAATCAACATATGTCAGGTAAAAGGTGACGAGAGGTCGAATTATAAATGTATCATCTTTCTCAATAAGGTAATACCATAGACTAACGGAGTATGTTTTATCTATGGTAATACACACACTGGTGCCTCTAACAGTTTTTGTAATAATCTTTACAGGTTAACACAATGAGAAGAACATTGATATGCTACTCGTATGGAAGGCAGCACACGGAGGTGCCCAATTTCCCAGAGCACAGGAGCGCGGGGAGCTGCGGCGTGGGCTGAGCTGATGGAATCCACCCGATATCAGAGTCGTTTTAATAGTTATCTGCTCTAATCGAGCATTTCGTGAAAGTGGTTTAATGGATAATTGAGTGCGCATACCAGCCTAAATGATTTGGCCACGAGGTGGCTAACTAGCAGTCTGCAGCGCAATGTTGCCAACTACTGCATCTAATATCTCGATATCGATCAAGTTGATTGAGGGTGATTTCAAATATTACAAACTTCTACAAAGTAGCCCAAAGCTTAGGCCATCCAAGCCCTGGGCCAGCGGAATTATTGACATATACTTCATGTTGGTTTTTTGTCCATCTTCAATTATATCTCTAGAAATATTAAACCTCAATATATGTAGATGAAGTAGCATAACAAAAGATAATTACTTTGCAAAGATCAAAATCAGCTCCACTGAACAGAATGTGAGCCGAGTCACAGACAACAGTATTGGAGAACATAGTTTTTACACTCAAAAGATGATGGTTAGACACATTTCCATTGAGTTTTACAACATTCACAGAACTCACATGGACGAATGTGCAAAAATATCGATACAGTAAATTGGCACTCGACTTTTCACCTTCAACAATTATCTCTATTATCTTTGAGGAATGTTGATAGTCAAAATGTACTCGTAAAACCTTCAAAAGCAGTGATTGGTCGGTTGAAGAGCTTGGTAAACCAAAGAGAGGAAAGTTAGTTGAAAATATTTAAAACTAAAAAATTAAGTGTTTCACAATGTTATATCATATACTTATTTTCTCGTTCGTATGTTCTCTCAAATTAAATTTCACAATGTTATTAACATGAATGCCTCTTAGCTCCTATATTGACATTTTATGCTAACTAGAGACACATATAGGTTACCAAACTAATAGCCAAAACATTTATAGACATAAACTATGAAAAATCTTTTTCACTGCATGGAAATTACTCTTTAACCTCATACACCTAAAACAAAATTCCTGAAAAGAAAAACACACAGCTCACGATGAGATTTAAAATAGATATATATTTCATAAAAATGTTGTGTGCAGGTCCTTCACGGCAGCCATTACATTACTTAACAGTTATACTCGGACAATAAAACATTGTTGAAATAACAAGTTAATATTCACATTAACTTCGGGATTTCATACTAAAAGTAATTGTTTTACTATTTTAATGACACCAAGCAATATCAGGTTAAAATTGAATCCAAATCGTGACCAATTAAAATATATCATGAACAAATTACTCTGATCGCGAAATCATTATTCCTAGTTTACACAATGAAAATTTGTCCTTATTGCTTTACTAGAGTGAATGAATCCTTTAAAAACGGCGAATTTACATTAAAATATTGTTTATTGAACATTTGATCAATATGGGTTCTTTATTAGTATAAATTTTTGGAGTATTTATGCAGTATATGAACTAACGTTATCGTATATTAATAGTTAGAGATATATAAAAAATGTTATTATACAAACATGTTATTCGACAAAATGTGCTAACTTGCCAGACAAGGTGATTTCACAGTTAGCACCCAACTGATAATAGTCTATCAGAAATATTGACAAAACTCTTAAAGTACATAATCTTTTTTATATATATAACATCATTATTACATGTAAGAGACATGAAAAGTAAATACATACTAAGCATGGCAATTGAGTAATTTCCTTATTGAGTACTTTAACCAAAAGGTGACATTCTCGCTGAATCAATATGATAATATAAGACATTTTATAAATATTTAACACAAAAAATTATAAATCTAATATTATTATTGATCTTGTGACCATAGCCACTAGCATCTCCGTTCTTAACAAATTGATTTATTGACGATTGGAAATTATACTAAACTGCAGATTCTGTTTGTAAACTGATTTGTTGTTTTTATTTTAGTTATTAATTAATATCCAATGATTTTTTTATCAAATAACAATAAATTATACAAGACAATACTGCAATACTAACATCACAAAATAATACCATATTGAAAATAGTATTTTGCGATGTTATATGATTATAGGCCTACTATAAGAAATAAATCAAATTGACTCCATAACGTAATAGGCATATTCACTAACTCAATTCTTTTGCAACTTAGTCATTGAGTTTCTCGTTTTTTGTGAAACAAGTGATTTTAGTATGGAATAACCTGTTTACACGTTATTATATTATGTCAGATTTTTTTACTGATTATTTAATTGCGTTATAAATTAAGTCAACCCTTAAATAATATATAAGGTACAAAAATACAATTTGTGTTCATTAGTACGCAAACATTCGTGATATAGGTACATAAAAATTATAGAAAAAGTGTGTACTATATTATTTTTAAAATAATTTTCACAGGTGTACACAAAACTTATTGAACGCTGTTGGCTTGATAAGAAAGTACAGTATTTGTCGGTTATGGCGTTGTAAGTCATGCAATGAACGTTGGTCGCGATAAGGTGCAATATACCAGGTCTTGCCTCCGACCAGCCAGTCTACTGGGACCAAAACATTACACTTACTTGTACAAGTAGTTAGGTTTTTTTACTGTATGTATTGTACTTAATTTGAAAGATTTAATTCATTTAAAGCTATCACATTACTTCTATCTATCGTGTTATTAGACTACGCACGTTTCTATTATGTGTGAAGTCTCCAGAACCGAGATGTGCCCCGTGCATCAGATGCGTTTGATATGTTTCTTAAATATACCTCACTTCGACAAATATGTGTATTTAGTTATATAAGATGTATGCTAATGCATATAAGTACAAAATAACGTATTTAGGAAAATAATTTTCTTAATGTATTGATTTTAGTGACTTTATTGCACACCAGCCAATTTAATCAGGATAGGATGAAATTAAAAAGTTACATGTAGACGAAATAATTACTGATTTCATACATTAAAAAAATGTAGTACTATTGTATAGCAAATTATCAAACTAATGTTCTCTCCAAATTGATTGTATTTTTTAAACCGCAGCAAATACACAATAAAATATATTTTATTTAACTTCTCGCTTCTCGTCACTTTTTGCAAATAATTTACATCCCGTCGTGCACCGTTTACACTGTATTAGTCTTTTGACACCGCAATTTGCTTTACATTTTTTCAAACATATTCTGCTTACATTGTGGATTGAACTACTATTTTTATGTATGGTTTGTATACGTTTACGTAATCTGGAAAATGTGAGTGCGTTAATTACAATTAATATTAGATTTTTGAAAAAAAGTGTAACTTAAATTTTAAGTGATTATGTTAATTTACAAAAATCCCGCTAATATCTCTGTAAAATGTTCTAGAACTTCCATTTTAATTAAATACCAAACAAATTCAATATATACATTTTGTACCATATTTTAAATTTTTATACGAAACTTTTCTACCGTTTGATTCCTTTATTTGAAAGTGTTTCGAGTAACTTAGAGAAAAAAAATTCTTAAAATTAATACATTTTATTTCCGTGATTTCTTTTAATTTATTCGTTTAATCTAATCAAATTAAGATAACTTCATGATTCTTTAATTAATATTTTACACTAAACTATTTTTTATAGACTATAAAATTTTATATATGAAATTAAATTTTTTTTACTTACGTGTACAGAGTGAGACGCATCCAGTACGACCGTCAGGCCGGTGGGAAGCTTCCAGTTCCCGGCCTGGTGTATACCATGATCACCACACATCAACACATGCCGCGCACACACACACAACACTGACTCGATGTTGCCGCCGCGCGCTACACTGGCCGACTGACGCTAAGTCACCCCCCACCACCACACACCCTCCGCCGCTTTTAATTGTACGATCGTTTAAAGAACTATGCCTAGACTAGCGCCATCTAGGTAGGGACTGACCTTAATTTCAGACCGTGTTTTGGGAGACACGGGAATCCTAGGAGGTTTGGTTTTCCTTGTAGACAACGACACGCTCAAGTGCAACGAGAGATTGTTGACAGGGAGAATTAAAATTTGTGTTTATTCAGTTTGTGAGGTTTAGGTTCGTAGTCAATACTGTATATCGAAATTCATTTTTACTTATAATCACGCCTTTACTCTTTCATGTATCGCCCCTCACCCCTCTTCGCACTCAATATATGTAATAAAAGGCGTAATTGTAGCTATTAAATAAAAATATTTTTTAAATCCTTTACAATTTTTAACGTTTTTTATTTTTATAACACTACTTGAGGGAGGATATATCTTTCAACCGAGGTGCTTAGCAAGGGTTTGGTTCATGTCTCGCCACCTATTTGTTAACCTGTAATCTACGTTGTTATATCATTATAATCTATAGTTTTTTTTTATTATCAGACCTCATGTTAATTCTTAAGACCTTAATTATTGTTACAGGAAATTTTGTATAGTTTACAGCTCTATAAAATAATCATTGTCATTATTAAAATGAAATTCAATCATACTTATATCAAAAAGGTGCGAAAGATTTTTAAGCTACCGGTATTGTTTTTTTTTATCACAAAAAATAAAGCTTTAAGGACTGACAAGGTAGTAGGCTAAGCAACCGATCACTGTTGTTTGAAAACAATTCTAAATTAATTTAACTCTTTTTTACAAGTTTCGTCTCAACATAGACCAAAGACTTCAGCGAACGATGTAATCTCGTCACACATATTGGTAAACATAAACAGACCTAATTGTTTACATCAAAAACGTATCTTGTCAGTCATAACCAAACAAAGTCTTAGTTGTTCAAACTAATTTGGACTAGTTCTATCTGAACAAAAACTTGAACAGTATTGATTTTGAATATAATTTAGAAAATTACAAATAAAATCAACTTTGTCATATATTTCCTGTCTGGATTCTTGACATAAAAGTGGAGAGGACGATTGATCATATAGTGTTAGTTGCAGTTACAACTATTGTAATACGTTGGTAAAATTAAATCACAACTTAATCCTCATCATCGGGTGTTTATATACGAGTAGTATATATGTAAGTTTTATAAGTTACGCTAAATAAGGTCTCAATAGACCTTTAAAAGAACAAACGTCGTATTGAGCAGAGTATGTTCAATATCAAATGATGCCACAAATATCTATGCAAATCTATTGAACGAATCGCAAGTACATATACTTAAACCTCAAAGTAAATAAAAACAAAATTTACTCTGAGCTTAAACTATTTAAAAAAACTCGTTTCCCAAATATTTGTGCAAACTTTTAGAAACGTATATACACATTACTGAACATTTACATCAAATCAATAAATATTTCATGCAATTTAGAAAAACACAAACACGTACGAAGTTATTGTAAAGATTGCTCTTCAAACACAGGCTGGAGGAATGGCGAGTTCAAAGAGTTGTAAAGAAAGAACAAAGGCTAATGCTTGGCAAGACATTGCAATGAGCGACCATTGTAAGGCAGCATCGATCCTACGGCTGAGTCCTCGTAGGAGGTCCAACAATGAACGATAAATAATGTGCATCTTCTACACAAATAATTTAATTACATCCCTTGATGTATTCATCTTAGTCACAGACTTATGTAAATTACTGTTATTTAATTAGTTCTGAATCCACCCCTTCCCCCGCACGACTACTGCCAAGGAGCGCCACTCTACGCATCTCACTGTAGTTCTCAGTGCTCACTGCTGGGCGAGTGTTCCTATGGTTCCGTGGATACTTTATTATAAAATTACTGACATTTTTAGTGAATTTCCCATATCGGGAATAAGCTTTTACCGTAGTACTCATGGTAAGATCTGGACCTGGGACCAATTTACTTTTTCGAGAAAAAAATTATCCCATTTTGATTAAATTTGATAGAAACGACGTTTATTCAAACGAGTTCGCGAACTAGCGTGATCGGACTATGAGAACGGGGGTTTATCTGGTTTTATGGGGTAAAAATTGGTTTTCCCCATTTCTGACTCTAAAAACATCAAATTTCAGAATTTTTTCCAGACCATTTTGTATAGCTTTAAAAAATTTTTTGTATATTGAAGCATTGTTGTATGCCTAACGGTTACGGAGATATTAAAAAAAACTTTAAATTTAAAATTCCCATGTTATTTTTATGTAGAATAAATAAACTTTTGTGGTTTGCTTTTTTATGTATATATTCCGATTTGGCAATTTTGTTTATTTCATACTAAGCTATCAACATTTCAATAAAAAAACACACCTTAATACCCTGTAGCGGCAAACCTAGGTACTCTTTAAAATTAATTTTATTTAAATAGGAAATATATTTGAAAATTTTCAGGGAATATAGTATAAATCCAACCAGGTACATGGAAATTCGCTTAGTCTGCAGGTTTGCTGCGGCGGGGGTATTCTTAAGCTTTGATCACATGACATGACCAATTGCCACTGATAAGCTAGATTTTTCATACTGTAGTATTGTGTATTTTGGGAACATGCTGGCATTTAATGTTTTAATATTTAAATTGGTTTTACATTACCTTTAACACTTCATTCCAGGAATATACATTAAATCCACTTAAATAGCTTCGTATTCAACACACGACAAACACATTTAACACATGACACGCACGACATATAAATAAATTATTTAATTTGATAGGCATATCACGAAAATGCAACATTGCCGTTACACGAGCGGGAACAGACTAACTGTCATAATCCTTGAGAACAATTATATAAACACAATTTAGGCGGTTACATTATTTGTCAAATCATTTACTGTCAAACCATTTATTGTCAGCTGCTGTTTTATGACTCTTCTTTACCATGAGAAAGGATTTTGTAGTAGTGCATGTAAAAAAGGGGAATTTTTTTAAACTGTTTACACTAATCCTCATATTTAAATAGCTATTTTAAAAAATACCCCCACTGCAGCAAACCTGCTGACTAAATGTATTTCAATTTGCCTGGATTGATTTTCAATTAATCTATTTAATTACCATTTATGTTTAACGATTACCTAGGTTAGCTGCTACAGGGAAATTATGAAGTGTGCTTTTTTTATTAAAATATCAATAGCTTAGTATGAAATAAATAAATCCGCCAAGTTTGATCAAAATATATCCATAAACAAGCCAACTACAACATTTTACAATATTCTTCATAAGAATAACATGGGAATTTTAAATTAAAATATTTTTGAATTTTCTCCGTAACCAATCACCGTACAAAAACACTTTGATATACTAAATTATTTGTTTTTTTAGCTCTTTAATAAGGTCTAGATATATATTGTGAAATTTTGTGTTTTGAGGGTCAAAAATGATAAAACCAATTTTTACCCCATAAAACCCCGTTCCCATGGTCCGATCATGCTGGTTCGCGAACTCATTCAAGTTTATCCCGCCTTACACCTTTTCAGTAAATTTCCGTAAAGGTCCCGGGCCTAGGTCTTACCATGACACCTGTGGTAATGTCTACTTAAATATAGGGAAATTTGCTAAAACTAATATTTTTGGTTTGTTTTGTTTTAAGACCCTATATTATTACACATCTATGACCTTGTCTGGATGTGCAGATGTGCAAACTTAACTTCGGACTTCCGGTTCAAACGACAGAAATGAAAATATTCAATAGATTGAATTGGTTAATTGGTTTCATATTTTCTCATTTCAAAAGTCAATTTGTTTCATTTTTCCATCCTAGAAAACTAAAGCTATGCTGTTTCGTTGGGCTGAAAAAGCAAATAAATAACATTTCATTCAAATAAATCTACTATAAATACTAAAAGTGCTCCTCAAAAATAGAGATAAAGTTCCAAAAAAATGCACTATTCTTTTATCATTCATATTGCATAAATAATGTTATAAAATAAATAATACAAAACCACCACAGCAGTTACACTACTGAATCGTGCGCTACGTGGTGTAATTGTCTGCTGCTAAATACCAAATTAATAACTCCTAACAAGACACAGGGAGGGGGTGGGGGAGGGGGGAGGTGATGAATGTGGCAGCGGCCAGATAAATGTCGACATTTACCGACCAAATGAACATTATATTACTGACACATATAGAGCTCCTCTGTATTAGTCCCATTGTTGGACCCAATCACCACGACCGGCGCCTGCGCTTGTCCTGGTGATCACTCATCACTACACATCACCACAACACCTATAACTTTCTACCGTCACCACAAATATGTAGACCTTATTACATACCTAAACAACCAAGTGCTACAAAATTTTTAAAAATGTTTTGTAAAGCCTTAGCAATGATTTTATTTTACATCAAACCTCCTAAGGACGAAAAGATGTACTGATGCACGGTAAACGCTTAGTTTTCGGAACGGAATTAAAAGTACATAATATAGGGCCTATGGTATTTTGTTGGACAGGACCAAACAACTTCCATAGTTAATACTCAATAGTTTTGTATGAACATGATATATTTGTGGCAAATTCATAATTTGTTTGTAGTTATTGGGTTTTACTCCCCCCCCCCCCCCCCCCTATAAAAATACGAAGAGAGTATTGTTTCGTAGTATTTTCTAGGTCAGTTTTGGATGGAATATCCGTATTGGGTCCCCCTGATCCCAAAAATAGTTTTTTTAAGTGATGTGTATGTGTATGTGTGTGAGTCTGTGTCTGTCTGTATGTTGATGTGTATAGAGTTACAGGCCACACCTGTGGTACGATTTTGATGGCATTTTGTATGTGGGTACTTATCCATGTAATCTCCAGGTGGGGTTTTCTTTTTTTATATTGCTGTTGTGATTTCCCCATAGTCCCATAAAATAACGAAAAAATAGCATTTTGTCAAACCGGCCAAAACGATTTTCGTTCAAATTT